TGTGTGTGTGTGTGTGTGTGTGTGTGTGTGTGTGTGTGTGTGTGTGTGTGTGTGTGTGTGTGTGTGTTTTGTGCGTATGTATTTAGCATCAGTATTTCAAACGTAGGCTGGATTCACTCTTTGATTCTGTGTGCTGTTGACGTATTATCGTTTTCTTCTTATTTGCGTTATCGGACTGTATTCGCAATTCTTCGTACTGTACAACTAGTGCCTTTCTTCATACAAGTGGCTGAGAGATGATGTCTCGCATCAATATCAAAGCAGTCACGCGTTAAGACTAGTTTTCTTTCTAACGGGATCAGATCCTGTTTTCACAAAAAAAGAAGAAAAAAAAAATCCAAAGTTTGTTTGTTTGTTAGACCGACATGACGTCTAAAAACAATCCCTCTTTTCACAAAATCCTAAGAAGGTTCAAGTCAGGGAATGTTTCATCGTGCTCACCGTACTTGTGCAGTACTCCAGAACATAGGGCCTGAACATACACAAATGCAAAGCTTTACTCTCAAACAGTGAATGTATTTGTGGAACTCGACATCTGTTTGTGGTTTTCAAATGTTGTTGCGTTTCTGTTGGCTGCACAGCTTCTTTTTTTTTTTTCTTGCTTTTTTTGTGATTGGGATGTTGATATGCAGCTATTACCATAGGCAGACATCATGTGTTTCAGTCAGGGGCTCCTTCAAAAGGCTTTATCTATCAATTAATATTCAAAGGTTTAGCTCCAAAGTTATCCCACCCTGATCTGCTTATTGTATTACATCATATTGGTTTTTGCTATGTTGCTTAATTAATGGGTGTATCCTGTTTGGTTTTTTTGTCTACTATTCTACCGCGTTGATGAATTTTAAGTGATGCGCGATGGTGCGCAGTTTGGCTTGGAGTGCAACTGCACCGTAACATGTACTCCACTCCAAGGAAAATCAGTTTTTAAATCCTGTGGCGTGCAGCCCCTGTGTGTATTCTTTGTCAGCCACGCACAGGTGATGAGATGTACCAAATTCAGCAACATCGCACGCCACAACCCCCCCTCCCTTTGAGGTTAACAATCTCAAAGGCACTAGAGGGGTTGCACAGCCCAGGATCCAAAAGCACTTGGTGCTCAGCATCCTCGAACAGGCCTGAGGACTGCTCGGACA